GGAGGAGCTTATGGGTAGATTATTTCAGCTAAATAATCAGCAGACAGAACTAAGTGGCTAGACCACAGGTATTTGGAGACAGTAACTGTAAACTTGGTGTATGCACTAACTAAAATAGCTTCTCAACAGCTGTAAGTTATTATGTAAACACTGTGCTCTCACATCCTTTTATTAACAGTCACTGAGGAAACTGCTCACATTTAGTTTTGTTTTATGCACAGCACTATGAAAAAATATTGGAAAGTATTCTTCTACAGATTGTTACAGAATTCCTAAAGGCACATCAGGTTATAAAAATCCCAGCTAATTAGATGGGGCTAGATCTTATTAGAAGTCTATTGTTTTTTTTCTAAATCTATAAGCTGTATTAGGGACATCCAAAAGGAGGATCTACCTACATATGTGTAGCTTTTACTTGCAATCAAAGTATAACATCTGAATTAAAATTACTATGCTTATTGCTAATTAATGTGACTATTTCTCAACTTAAGTGTGTGTGCAGGGAATATATTCTTGTTAGGGACCAAAGGTCACTCGTGCCAAGGTCAGCAAACATCTTGGTCTGATTCAGAGATGGGGAGAGACACACTCCTGAGCATCGCATCCAACTGTGTTCATTGTGTGCGCAAATGATAGCAGCAGGACATTGTTTAACATGCATCCTTACGGGCGCAGGATACCTCTTACCAGCTAAGCTGCTTTTTGGTCCTCCAGTGTGAATATGTCTACATTTATAGAAGCAGATAACTGCATAAAGCAGGTGACAGTCTATTGCCGTGCAATTTAACCAGGCAGGTACGCACTCCCACTTGACAACATAACATGTTTAAAAAAAAAAAGAAGGAAGGAAAATTCTGCTAAAGGCATGAAAGTTACGCAGTGCCTGTCCTGCATAATGAGTGCAAGAATCCCTTCTGCTCAAGATTACAACAAATAACACGCAAAACAGACTCATAGGCTATGGAGCATATTTTCAAACTGATGAGCAGAGATGAGCTGAACTCCCGATTGTCCAGGAGATGGAAAGATCCTCATCAGCTGCAATAGGGAGCCTGACAGATATTTGAATGGGACTGTGTGGTAGGCTAAGGAGGAGATCCTGGTACTGGAAGTTCAAACTGGTGATGAATCATTCTGTCCTTTGTCTCAGAAAGAATGAGGCATTTGTTTATTGTGTTCATTTGCACCACAGCTATATAATCTCATGCCTCAGATTTTTTTTGGCCTTTTTAGAGACCTTTTATTTCTTTTCTTCCTGCAAATTTGACTTCTGTGATTTTTTTGACTCCCATATGAAGCATCAGAGATAGGTACCAACTAGAGATAGGACAGGTTATGCTGGTGCTTCTTTTGAAATATAAAACTCTCAAGTGTCTTTGAGAGAGGTATACCCAAGGTCACATCTACCACCTGCCAGATCTGGGGTTGCAAAGGAATTTTCCTCAAAACCAGACCGGTGGGGAGGATTGAGTATTACCTGCCTTTCTCTGTACAACAGTGTGTTATAATTGTTACGATCATCTGATAATTAACTAATGGCATGACCACTAATGAGAATTGAAATAAGCAGTGAACTCTTGACCCCCCACCAGCTGTCTCTGTGATGTATACCAGTGTGTTTGGGCCTTCTGCAATAGGCCTGCAAGCAGTCGTAGGGAGCTGGCAAACTTTTTGTGGCTGAACTTCTATTGAATAGTCAAATGAGCAACAGAGGGCTGGGCTCAGTGGTCTAAACCACAGAAACATCATAGAGTCATAGAATTGTTTGGGTTGGAAGGGACATTAAAGATCACCTAGTTCCAATCTCCTGCCATGAACAGGGACACCTTCCACTAGAGCAGGTTGCTCAATGCCCCATCCAAACTGCCCTTGAACACTTCCAGGCACGCGGAAGCCACAGCTTCCTTTGGCAACCCGTTCCAGGTCCTTTTCAGTCCATGTTCATATAATAATGTTACTTTTTGTGTACTCTGGGCAGCTATGCAAAAGGAAGAAAGGTAAGTGATGCTTCATAGTAAGGGCACCATGAAGTGGCAGGTTTTTAGCACATTCAGTTTCCAGATGAATGGTCTGGTGGTCTTTCACTAGGAAATGAAGTCCTGAGTATGTGTGTAAGACTACCAGGACAGATCTGCTGAATTACCAATAACAATCTTTTCTACAAAAACACAGCTGTAAAATTCAGTGTCTGTTTTTGCTCCAAAAAAGCCGTAAAGTACCTATGCATTTGTTTCACAAAAAGCTTCTAGTTCAAAATGTCTTACATATCTCATTAAAAGAATTATTCTGCTATTATCACTTAATCCAGTGTGGTATGAACATGACATTTGACAGCCTATGGCTGGAAATTCCAGCTGCTTTTCTGGATTATAAGCATAAAGTTTTACAGCTATATGCGGCAAGCCAGTAGGGTCAGCAAAAAAGGAGCCTGAATTTTCTATGTAGATCAGTAAAGCTGCTGCTGAATTGTTATTCTTCCCCTTACTGTGAGTCCCAAGAGACCAAATGAGCTGAATTATCTTCTTCTCACTAGTGGACCTATCTCTCAGGGGAAAGGTCAAAAATAAGACATGGCAGGGAGTAAAGGAAAAAGGTTGAGCATGCTTTGAAGTCCTCAGCCCAGTGTGGCAGCCTGAAATACAGGAGTGAGAGTTTGATTGAAGGGACACCCTGATTCCCACTCCAGATAAATCCTCACGTGAATCTTCTTCCCATGGAAATACATTTTTTCAGGAGGTCAGGCCAAAGCAGGGTGAGGGATGTGCTCAGGTGGTGGCTTCTTTGGAAATCAGTGATGAGAAGGAAGGCAGACAAGAGTCAAAGAAACCACTAGCCACTGCCCAGGCCTTGCTGCCCTCCATACAAACAAGGATGTGCAGTGGTATGACTTCAACTGTTGAGGTCATGACACAGCAGGGTGCTCACAGCTTATCTGTGATAAGTCAGGGAAAAAAACCTTAAACAAACAAGAAAGCCAGAGAAGTAGCTTACCCAGGGGGCAAAGAAGCAGAGTCACAATGCTAACATTTGCTAGCGATAGCACTGGGTTTCAAAGTCCCCAGGATATGGTGCAAGACTTCATGCTGTGCCAACTCCAAAGAAACTGTCACTATCCCAAAGTTTTACTGAGTAGTAATTTAATCTAGTAATCTAAGTCATTTCATCCAAGCAATGTAAACTTTAAACTCAGTAACCAAACTAGTAATATGTGAATAATATAGAAGGTACAGACCTATAGAAGCTACAGACCTCATCACTTCGTGTATTATCCTGAAAAGGTGGAAAAGCATCCATTTAGGAAACAGACTTTGGACATCTAACAATTAGGTGTGGCTGAAAACTTTTTTTGTGATAAATGTCCAGCAAAGTCACCCTAAACGGCCTTAAAATTATATTGAGAAAGAAAATTGCAGTGTATTAAAAAGGCTGTCACATGAAAAATCATTCTTCTCCAAAAAGGTCGACTTTTGTTTAGCCATGATGAATATTTTGGCTGAAACACACTAGAAGACACAGAAGTCCTTCTCTTTTTCCTTGGGTTGTTTCCTGGGTAAGACCACGTAAAACTTGAAAGCTAGGCAAGAAGTAAATGGAGATAGTAAAAAAGCATCAGAAAATGTAATAAAGAGTGGATTTCAGCCATGAAGGAGATACACTGTGAATAAGATGGCTTCCCAGAAATGAGGACGATGCAGTCCTTCCAACACCACCCCATGGCATGGAGATCAGGCTGGAGTGCAGGCTTTTAGGGAGATATGAGTTCACCATTTCGAACAAAATAAATAATCCAAGTTTGCTGTTTTCCTTCTCTTTCAACTTGCACTCTACATTTGTAAACATTTCTGTGTGGGTAAATTACTCTTCCTTTCTGAGCAAGTCTATGAAGCTGCTTTATTTCCAGCAGAATGGTTCTTGTGTCACCATCATCCTCCCTGCGAACAAACTGGGAGAGATACAGGGGAGTTAAAAAAAGAAGAGTTGCATTAAGGTAGCTCCTTGAGGCCTCCATGAGGCAGGCATCCCACTGTGCTCTGTTCAAGGCAGGGGACTGGGATTGCACAGGGGCTCTCCTGCTGTGTGGGGCACACATAAGATGCCAGAAGAAAATGGCAGAGATGGGAAACGCTGGTAATGAGAAAGGGAACGGGGGCTGAATAGACTTGTCTGATAACTGGAGATAATTATTGCTGCACAATCAGAGCTTAGAAAAAATCTGCATCGTTTTCATTTAAATGACAGATGGGCCAAGGCTGAGCCCTCACATCAGAACCTCTTTTGTCACCTGGCAGGTCAAAGCACAGCTGGGGATAAAACCCAGGGGTGTGACTTGCACCTCTCCTTCTGTCTTCTGCTAGATAATAGGGCTGGAGAAATGTAAAGGCTTGAAAAACCTTGACTATAGGAAGGCAGGCTCTGCAGGCGGCTGGCACAAGGACAGCCATGCACCAGCACCAGAGTATCTCCTGAGAGTCTCCAGCACTGGAACTGCACAGGGACCTCCTGGTGGGACAACATTTGGGCACAAGAGAGCACAGAGATTCTGAGCAGCCCATGGGATAATCCAGCAAGGACAAGATAAATCACACTGACTTGAAGCTGCATGGGAGCCTCTACAAACCCGGAAGAGGAAAGGATATTTAAGCCACTTCACCATACTTGAATTCTGGGCTGAGTCTCTGCCCAAGTTACCATGATTCAAATATTTCCTAGGTGTGAGTGTCAGTACTGAGCATTTGACTTCTGTACCATTTTGTGCTCAAGAAGCTGTTCCCATCTCTATTGGGAAGAAGCAGGTATGAAGCCAAAGTGTGCTACCCCTGGGCTGCTGAGGCTGCCAAGGGCTGGGCAGTGCCCAAATATTAACCTTTATGTTGTCCAGAAGGCTCCTTGAAACCTTCTTATCTCACATGGAAAAATCCTTACTCACAGCATCTGCAATTGGAGATTTGTTTACAGAATAGCTTTCACTGAATTTTGATAAAAATTCAGTGTTGGCAGGAACCACTTTTCTCACTACCAAGAGTGCCTTTTCTAACACAAAATATGTCATTGGCAGCCAGTTAATTACAGGAGGCATTCTAAGGCTAGGGATGAAGTGAGGAATGCAGAAGGGGCCATGGGAATTTCGGGGAGCAGTATCAATTGAATTATCCTACTTGCAAGCAGAGGTGTGATCTCTGGAGTCTTGCTACTGCAGCACCACAAGGGACAGGGAGAGGTGGTCTGGTCCAGTTTTCAGCTCCAAAGCAAGGCTGCCGATGCTCACCCCTTCTCGGTAGATGTTTGAGCGGTCCTTAGCAGGCTTGGTTACAGAAACCCAGCAGTCAGCTTCTGCAGTCTTGTTCCTGCACTTACCTGTCTGAGGTGAGAAACAGTCACTTCAGTGCCTGGTAGTTCAAGAGTGTCCGTATCTGGCTTAGGCCCACCTTTGAAAATGTATTCCAGAGCTTAACCTTTTCTTTTTGAAAAACTGAAAACAAATAAGCAGTTTCCTCCCCAGTAAGGTGCATTTAAAGGAAGATAAGCTTCATGTCCTTTTAACTGTTCCCCAATTTTTTTCTTTCTGTCATTCTTTCCTGCCTGTTGTAATAAGGCAGGAGGTGTGATATAAACAGCAAACCAAAATTAACACCAAGCCCCTGGCTGCATGCTCTTTCTAACCACCAGTTTTAAATCTCTGCTTTCCCAGGAAAAACAATTTAACCAAGTGCCTTATAAAACAGAAGAATATGAATCCCTCAGCACTGAAGTGGTTGACTTATCAGGGAGACAGTACTGGGAATGTAATTTCTACCTGTAAATCTGATTCAACCTTTTCTATTCCTGAAGATTTTGATGGATGATGTGAGATCAAGTCAAGCAAATGTACACACCATTATATTAATGCAGTAAGATGCTCTTTGGCAGATTATTCCAAAGTACCTCTGCAGGACTAGTAGGATGCTGACAGTGCTGTCCAAGTCTACAAAACTCATGATGACAGTAAAACAGAGCTATCTGAAAACACTGAAGTTTGCTTCAGCAGAGTGGAGTACATCACTATCCAGGGTCATGGCTGCTTTATATTTACCCTAATACTTCTACTGAGTGGAAATTATATAGTTATCATTGTGCTGAAAAATAGTGGCTTTGCTGCTTAGGAAATATGTGTCTCCCTTCTAGGAAGAGATGCATGGCTACATTCACCAAACTCAAATCAAATGCAAAGGTGTAAGGGAGGTGTAGGTCTGACCAAGAGGGAGCTTGTTACGCTCCAAACAAAACAAAATCAAACAAGAGGGGTTTCTGCCTTCTCCAGCCAGAAAGACAGAGCCTGCAGAAATTATAACAAGCCACTGCTGTGACTCATTGCATCAATACCCATTTCCCCCAGTCTCTGAACTGCCTGCTGGATTTATCTGTTTTCTTTTGTCTTATGTTTAGTCTGTGAGAAATATGGGAGTGAAACCATTTTCTCTCTTTGGACAGGAGGCAACAAGCTCTGAGAGTGCTAATTGCTACCCTAATATAAAATAATAGACAATAACAATCACTATATGACTGAATATTGGGAATGATGGCAGGACATGCTGCTCCCTCTGGTAGCAACTGATGTTGTAGCAAAATCGGGTAATCATCATCTACTGCTGAACAGAGCAGAAAAAGCTATGTCTTGTACTTATATTGGTTGGGGTGCTCTCCAGTTTATCTGTGAAGTCAGGCTTGCAGGCCCTTGAAATAGAATTTGGAAGATAACTGGATAAGTTCTTCCCAGTGGATGTAAAGCAATGAAGGCTCTGATGAGAGACAAAGGGAGAAGGATTTGGTCACTGAAGAACGTAAGTTCCAAATTAAACACAAGAAAAACTAAAGCTTAAAGAAGGGCATTAGGAAGGAAGGGGGTAGAAAAGCAGAGATAAAGGAAAATAAAGAGATATTGTGGAGGAAGCATAGCTGTCTGTTGGAGTGCATGTCGCTGGGCATGGAAATGAGAGGAGATGTCGTCATTCCATTTTCTGCGCACTGAATCTTTAAATGTAGATGAATCCCTTTCCCTGCTGTGCGGGCAGCTCCAAGGCAGCTGCTGTCTGGTGTTTCAGTGCAAATGCAGAATAGTACCAGAGCAAGATGGCTTTCTCCTCTTTACTGACTGACAACTTCTTTTCAAATTATTTGATTTTTACTTTTTATTTTAATGTTCCCCTTCTATAAGAAATGAGAGCAATCCAGGCTGGAAGATATAATTGATAAATTCTGTCAAACAGGAAAATTCACTCTTGTGAGAATTGCTGATAATATGACAGCTGGGCACCTACTGCCAACCAGTTAGACCCACCCCTGTTGCAGGATAGTACTGGAATTTTTCATCTACCAGGAAGATAGGACCACAGCATACAGAGACACCCAGGCTGAAGAATAGCATACACACTTAACTTTTTCCTGCCCCTGTTTGGTTTATCTCCATCACTACCCAACCTCAAAATCCTCAAAATCAAAACACACCATCAGTAGTCAGTTCAGCACTGATGTGCACCATCATGCCCTAAAGTGCAGTCAGGATGACTCAAGAGTGCAGATTTTCTTGTCCAACTGTGTTCCGAGAGAGAGACATAAATCAGTGGGATCACAGTCTCAGTTTTTTGCCTTGGGCTCCCCATAATATTTCTGCCTAAACATTGAATGCCTAATGCACTGTACATATACATGCCCCATCTCTCTCTGGAAGTCTATGCCCTTTGCATAATCACGTGCAAATGAGGTCATTATACCACAGACCTTTAACTAGCATTAAACCCCTCAAATATCACTTGCAGTAGAAGATCCTAAGCGTTATTCTCATTCCACATGAATTTATCCATAAGTTAAAATTCATGCATTTATTTTTTTCTAAATATGCAATAATAGCTGAAGTGCACACTTGCACACATTAATCTCATACTGATGGAGACAGCACAAAACTCACAGGGCTAAATTCTAACGTGAGCTCAACTTGTACATCTCAATGCAATTGAATGCATAGACCTGGGCACTATTTGACTCATGCGTGAGAAATAGGAAGGCTGTGCAAAATGTACTTGTGACTGTACAGGAATTACACATAAAAAATTACAGTGGTGCAAGTCTATCCAGCATGAAAATGACAGCCTATGAAAAGTGTAACTTGCAGCACTCATTCCTCGTCAGTGAAATGAATTGTTTTGCAAACGTTAAGTCTGATCACTTGCTACATTCCTATAGGGCTTCTCTTCAGATTCATGCTCCCATCAAACAGCCTAAAAAATTTGTGCAGACAAGGAATGTACTTAACTACTGAATTACTTTGGCATGAAAGATCCCTCTGTAACAAGAAATAATGTCTTTTGTGCAAGACAGAGAGCTTTCCAGGAAGCAGAGCCAGTGCTGCGGACACTGTATGAACTGCCCTGTGCATTTGATAAGGTCCTTGACCCACTTCCATTAGTAAAACGAAAAAATTAAAATTAAAAAAATAAAATAAAAGAAAAATAAAGCATAGAATCTCCAGCCTTCCAGAAATGTCTATGTAGATGAACAGAAAGCAAAACTGGGAATGACATGTGTCACGTTGTGTCCCCTCAAAAAACACTCAAAGTATTCAGCTACAGTGGTGGGTAGCATGTAAGAGCTTGAATAGAATAAAAAATAGTATCTATTAGCAAATGACATACAAAATAAAAGGAAATGTATGGCTTTCAACTTTGAGGTTACTGAGTCAAATCCAGTTCACATGAGCAGTAAGGGAGGTCATTGCCACGTGAGGGCTTTGTGATCAATATGAAGCTGCCTTTTGAGCCAAAAGCTACAGCATCAGAGCTGTTGTTCCTTTCCAAGATATTAAGATATGACATTGTTTCCATAATCCTTTGCTCATCTGAATTCCAACAGCATTAATATCTGAAAATTCCTGGTAAACCCATGTACACCTTGAATGCTGTGCTACCTTGCATGTTGTCACACCATTGCTAAAAAAGGGTGGAGTAAAAATGCATTTAGTTTTACACCATATAACACCAATTCTTTTCATTGGTGCAAACAGCCATGCAGGATACAAACTAGTGGAAAATCAGACCATGTCTGTAACAAAAAATCTCAAACAATTGAAAGAATGCTGGTACATTTAACTTTGAGGAAAAACCCAACACTGTAGTGTACTTATAGTGGCACTGAAATACCCAAAATGTTTACAGAAGGAGAATTAAATGTAAAACCTTAAGTGACTAACAGCACTCATGATGATAGTTTGAGAGGAATACCCAGTCTAAAGACTTTCTCATTTTAAGCATGATGTAAGTATTTTCAAAATACGATTGTTTTCCCACCATGTTTTTAAAAATCAATAATACATGATTATTTATGGAAAGCTATGAAAAGCTTTCCAGAAATTTATTTGGAACATAGAATCAAGATGGGTATTTTCATTTTTAATGAGATTTTTACAGTGCTGAATTTCAGCCAGCAGTATGCAGCCTGCTTGGTAGGAAGTAAAATATTCACAACTATAAAGAGAAGGAAAGGTAACCAAGTTTTTCGAAAGTAAGTAAACTTGGGTTTGCCTCTGCAAAACCCATCTGCGTCACATATGCAATGATGAACAGGAGGATAAGCCTTCACTATTTTTCAGAAAGTGAAAGAAAACTTATTCCATTACATCCCTTGTCAAAAAATACACATTTAGCAACTGAGACATATACTTTAAAAAGAAAGGCTCTGCACCTCACACTCTAAATAAAACACACCGGTACTGGCAACCTACTCATGTCAGTAGGACAACTCTTGCATGTGTGAATGAGTCAGTAAGAGGATCTGCACAATCAGGCCCTATAGGGTCATGTTACTGAGTCTGAAGAGTTAAATAAAATGAGTGTGAATTTCATATTGGAAAACACAGCCACCCATAACTTATTTGCCTGCAGGAGATGCAAATGGGGCCAGCCTTGTGCCTTCTCCAACTGAGACAACAGGCAGGCAGGTATTTCTGCAGCTCCTCCCAGAACAGAGCTCTGACCCAGCACTGCCATGTAGGACCAGGGACAGTCCTGCGCATGGGCCGCCAGTAGGACATGGTTGACAATCTTCCTTATTAACACAGTTGTTACTTTTTACCTTGGATGTCAAATACCTTGATTGCAGTAATACTTCTTCACCATCAAAATTTCCCCCAGGATTCATATTTCCATCATCATTGTCCCGTTTCACAGATCACAGAGGCCAAGCAAGGTCATGGCAGGAATTGGTAGCTCTGGCTGGCACAGCAGCAGGATTACCTGCCTGCCCTCTTTCCACATTACCCAGAAAATTCTCTTCTGAAAGAACTAGAGAAGGGTACAGGCACATAATGATCCTTTGAGAGGCACGATCTTT